GCTACATATGTCTTTTCCCACCCAAACACAGTCATACTAGCAGACGCAGTCAATGCCGAATTACAGAAAATATCTGCCTGGATGATGACTAACAAACTTACCCTGAACACAGATAAAACCTATTTCATTCAGTTTGGAAATAAAGCTGCAAATGATCCAATTAACATAACGCTAAACGGATCATCAGTCACAAGACTCACAGAGGGAAAACTCCTATGTATCCACCTTGACAGTAGCCTTAAGTTCCGGACACATACAACAAATCACCAAGAAAATCTCCAAGACTGTAGGCATACTATCAAAGATAAGGTACTACGTTCCACAATCAGCTCTCCTGGCACTGTACCATTCACTCATATACCCTTATCTTACATATGAATTTGTGCATCGGGATCAACAACATCCAATCACCTAAAACCCTCATAACCCAGCAAAAGGCAGCAGTAAGAATGATAACAAATTCCCACTCCCGCCAGCATACTCCACCAATTTTCAAAAATCTGAATCTGCTCACCATTAAGAACATCCATACTTATTCATGTGCCTACTACATACACAGAACAATACACGCAAATATAAACCCTCCACTCAAACTTCTCCTCACCAACCTAAACAGGACACATGACCACAACACAAGACACAGATCTCTTTTTGATATACCTCGTGTCCATATCACACTGTGTAAAAACTCTATGCACATAAGGACCCCCAAAATATGGAATTCATTACCAGAAGATATTAAAGTACCCAGTCTGAAAATCAATTTAAGACTCTTCTCAAAAGCCACTTAATCACCCTAGACTAAATGCTAAATACTCAGTACACACTTACTCACCTATGTACTCCCACATCATAACTGAAACAATCACTTTGAACCTTTTATCCATTGTTGACAGGAATATAATTGAATCATTGTTTTCACAAAAAGCATTTTCGAATATATGAATATATCTTTTGTCTTATACAAATTTTGATTCATTTATAATTAATAATCTACTGTACAACTCTGAAATAATTACTATCCTACTGTACAGTTATGATATACTCCTTAGTGTTAAGTAGTCTGTAAGCCAATAATGTTAAGTTGGTCCATAATGCCTAGGCATAATAGAGGCTCTCTTTGCATTGCAACCCACTATTGTAAATACAAAATCTCAATGTACTGTTTGCAAAGACAAAATAAATAAAAATAAATAAATTAAATAAATAAAGGTTCGTAGGTTCGAGTCTCATTCGGCCTGAGATTAGTGTTTGTGAATATTTCGCCTGTTTTGCGAATTCTAAACATTGTAAAAATCTTTCGTCGGCCGATGCATACAGGGGATGAGATAAAAAGCTCATAACCACCTACCTGAAGGCTGGCTGCGTATCTTTTTTTCGTTAGGTTCAGAATGATTTTTGCGAAATTATTGCATACACAAATTTTCGCTTGCCTTATTCGGCAAGAGTAGCGTTGCTATTTAAGCCAAAATCACAAGTTTTACCTTTTTAGCACACACACACACACACACACACACACACACACACACACACACACACACACACACACACACACACACACACACACACACACACACATATATATATATATATATATATATAGTTATATAGTAGGTAGTAGGGTGGTAGACAGCAACCACCCAGGGAGGTACTACCGTCCTGCCAAGTGAGTGTAAAATGAGAGCCTGTAATTGTTTTACATGATGGTATAATTGCTGGTGTCTTTTGTCTGTCTCATAAATATGCAAGATTACAGGTACGTCTTGCAACTTCTACATACACTTAGGTCACACTACACATACATGTACACGTTTATTTATACACACTCATCAGAGTTTTCTTTGATTTTATCTTAATAGTTCTTGTTCTTATTACTGTTCCTTTTATATCCATGGGGAAGTGGAATAAGAATCTTTCCTCTGTAAGACATGCGTGTTGTAAAAGTCAACTAAAATGCCGGGAAGAATGGGCTAGTAACCCCTTTTCCTGTACAGATTACTAAAAAGAAGAAAAAATTGTCAAAGTGGGAAGTCTGAATGTGCGTGGATGTTGTGCAAATGATAAGAAAGCGATGATTGTGGATGCTATGAATGAGAAGAAGCTGGATGTCCTGGCTTTAAGTGAAACAAAGCTGAAGGGGGTGGGAGAGTTTTAGTGGAGAGAAGTAAATGGGATTAGGTCAGGGGTTTCAAATAGAGTTAGAGCTAAAGAAGGAGTAGCAATAATGTTGAAGGATAAGCTATGGCAGGAAAAGAGGGAGTATAAATGTATTAATTCAAGGATTATGTAGAGTAAAATAAAGGTTGGATGTGAAAAGTGGGTTATAGTAAGCGTATATGCACCTGGAGAAGAGAGAAGTGTAGAGGAGAGAGAGAGAGAGGTTTTGGGAAATGTTGAGTGAGTGTGTGGGGAGTTTTGAATCAAGTGTGAGAGTATTAGTGAGGCTCAGGTTAGGGTGTGTAGAAGAGAAGGAGACTACTTCCCGGTAAAAGTAGGTCTTAGACAGGGATGTGTAATGTCACCATGATTGTTTAATATATTTAGAGATGGGGTTGTAAAAGAAGTAAATGCTAGGGTGTTGGGGAGAGGAGTGGGATTAAATTATTGGGAATCAAATACAAAATTGGAATTAACACAGTTACTTTTTGCTGAGAGATGGGATATTCTAAAGAAAAGTTGCAAAGGTTAGTGGACGAGTTTGGGAGAGTGTGTAAATGTAGAAAGTTGAAAGTGAACATAGAAAAGAGTAAGGTGATGAGGGTATCAAATGATTTAGATAAAGAAAAATGGATATCAAATTGGAGAGGAGGAGTATGGAAGTTTTAGTTTAATATGTTTATTATGCACCCCATACCCATCCTGTGGGCGGTAGTCAAAAGATTACAGAGGTACATAATTGGTCCAGGGACTGGACTCCAAAGTTTTGATAGCTGAGCAAGTTACAGAGGTAATGAACTCACAATTTACAAAGGTAATGAACTCACAATTTACAAAGGTAATGAACTCACAATTTACAAAGGTAATGAACTCCAGGTAAGTCTGATCACAATCATGACAAGTTACAAAGGTATTTACAGATTACAGAGGTACGTAATGGGTCCAGGGACTGGGCCCCCAAAGTTTTGATAGCTGAACTAGGTACAAAGGTAATGAGCTCACAAGTTACAAAGGTAATGAATTCTGTAGAGTGGTTACTTACGTTTATACTTTGGCTACAATCATGAACAAATTATAGAGTAATGAGCAATTCACACTTCCACACCCGGTCACAACTGTAATGAGTTATTGGTGCAAATATTGATTGTTGAGTCACACCACCACACACACACACACACACACACACACACACACACACACACACACACACACACACACACACACACACACACACACACACACACACACACACACACACACTTTAGTTTAATATCTTTATGCACCCCATACCCATCCTGTGGGCGGTAGTCAAAAGATTACAAAGGTACATAATGGGTCCAGTGACTGGACCCCAAAGTTATGATAGCTGAACTAGTTACAAAGGTAATGAACTCCAGGTAGATCTGGTCACTAATCATGGCAAGTTACAGAGGTAATGAATCAGCTTCACTCTATACATGGTTACAGTCATGAACAAATTACAAAGTAATGAACCACTGATACGTCCACACCTGGTCACAATTGTAATGAGTTATAAATACAAATATTAAGTGGATCATACACCCACACTAGCGCGCGCGCGCACATACACACACGAGGGCGCACGCACGGACATGTGCACACGAGCGTACAAATATATATGCATACACACAAGGACGCACACCACACACACACACCCACACACACACACACCAACACCCACACACACACACCCTCACACACACCCACACACACACCCTCACACACACCCACACACACACACCCACACACACACACCCACGCACACACACACCACACACACACACACACCCACACACGCACACACACACACACACACACACACACACACCCCACACACGCACACACACACACACCACGCACACACACACACACACCACACGCACACCACACACACCCCACACACACACGCACACACACCCACACACACCACACACACACACACACACACACACACACACACACACACACACACACACACACACACACACACACACACACACACACACACACGAAGTGAATGTTTTCAGATATTTGTAAGTTGACGTGTCAGCGGATGGATTTATGAAGGATGAGGTTAACCATAGCAATGATGAAGGAAAAAAAAGGTGAGTGGTGCGTTGAGGTATATGTGGAGACAAAAAACATTATCTATGGAGGCAAAGAAGGGAATGTATGAAAATATAGTGGTATCAACACTCTTATATGGGTGTGAAGCTTGGGTTGTAAATGCTGCAGTGAGGAGGCGGTTGGAGGCGGTGGAGATGTCCTGTTTAAGGGCAATGTGTGTGTAAATATTATGCAGAGAATTCAAAGTGTGGAAATTAGAAAGTGTGGAGTTTATAAAAGTATTAGTCAGAGGGCTGAAGAGGGTTTGTTGAGGTGGTTTGGTCATTTAGAGAGAATGGATCAAAGTAGAATGACATGGAGAGCGTATAAATCTGTAGGGGAAGGAAGGCGGGGTAGGGGTCGTCCTCGAGAAGGTTTTTCAATGGGTGGGTATATGAATGATCTAAACAGCTTCAACGATTTTGTATTAGGCGTTCTAGGTTAATCAAAGTTTACGTATAACGGCCTCTGTTACAAACGGCGTTTGTAACCCTATAGTTTCTGTTGAAGTTGGAGGACGGAATGAATCTATAAACTCAGTATTCATGATTACAATCTTACCCCTACAACTATATCGGTCCATTATCAGGTCCATTATCAGGTAGTCACCTCATACTTATCCTGTTGGTGGTATTCAAAACATTACAGAGGCACATCATGGGTCCGGGGAGTAGGCCCGAACGGATTCAGCGCTTTATATAAATATTTCATTTCAGATGCTGCCAGGTTCCTGGAGAGGAACCCACTCTTGGTGGCGGTGATCGACGGCAGAGTTCAGCATGTGTGTAGTCATCCTGACGACGAGACTTGGTCCATCAACATTAAGAAGGGCGTCGCCTCAGCCTTCCAGAACTCACTCCCATCTTTTTCCGCCATTTCAGGAATGATTATTACTGAGGTACTACTGTTACTACTACTAATAATTATAATAATCATACTACTAATAACGGAGGTATGCAGTAATACATGTAAGTTATGAAATACGCCGCATGATTTTTCAATATTGAAGATAAGGTGTATTTTTTAAATATTAGTTATATCGATGCAGTTGAGAATTCTCAGTATAATTCTCAGGTATAATTCTCAGTTATCTATCAACCAGATATCTACGTCTGTCTGCAGGAGCAAGCAAGCAATGTGGGATTTAAACTGAGAAAGATCGCTGATTTTATAATAAAAAAAATAATCTAATCAGGTAAATGTAAACTCGGTAATCATAATGCACATTTATATAATGATGGATCTTGAATATATTGAAAGGAGCAGGTATAAGAAAATTCGTTTCTCAGGGTAGAGCCTTCGGCTCAAAAGATTTGATCCTGAGGGGTAGAGACGTGGAAATGTTAGTTTAAACCTGTTGCCTATGTTCACGTATACAGTGAGTAGGCTTTACCCGCATCCTGGGGAATAGATGGAGCGGGGAAAGGGAAGGTTGTAGTATACCCTAGATTGTGCTATGCTTTGAAATACGCCACGGCGGGATAACAGCAGATTTAGGACTCACATGTTGAAGACAGGAGTTATTAAAAAAAAATATGTTTTCAGTTGACAGAGTGATTTATTTTAACTCTTCTTTCTGTTTACCATTTCGCCACCACAAAGTAATATTGTTTATTGTTTAGAGTCCGTAATCTCTCTCTCCTTGCAATAACATTCGTATCAGTATCTCGTTATCTTTAAGAACTCATTCGTTGCATTTACTTATCTTTTAAAGTGTTCTCTTCATTGATCTTCCACCATTTCTTACACCATTATCAGTAAGCCATCATATTCTCTCCTGTTGGATTCCATCATGTTCCCTTTTCATGTACGCCTCAGGCGAGAGGTTTCGTGTAATGTCCATTCACAGGTCTTTTTCTCTTTCCGAATCTATTAGTTTCCTGGTAAGCTTCACCTGTTTTCGTCGTTACTTTTCATTTACTGCAGTCGAATTTTAGTAGACACTTGTTGCTCTTTAATATAGCTTGATCAGATCTTCCCGCAGCATTCTTCTTTGTAGATTCGCCGGTAAAATCGCTCGGCCCAGGCCTTTTCCAAATTTTCCAAGTGGTGGCCCGGCCTTGGCTCCCTTTCGCGGGAGTGTCTCAGACCAATGTCTGCCATGGGAGGAGGTACATGTACCTCCTCGTCTTCTGGGACTAGCTGTCCCCAGGCTTAGCCCCATTCCCCGCCCCCACGGGGCTCGGAGGGAAAAGCTAGGAACTTTGGGCTGCCACAAACCCTGTCCACACTGGGCTCGAAGGGTGTGGCAGCAGCATAGCAGCAGACGATGCCAGGAGGTGCAAAGGCAGCAAGCGCTACAGGATCCTTTTGGAGTCATCGCCAGCTTTGGACATAACGTCCGAGCGCTGGGGAAGCTCAAGAATGCCTTTTGCTGTGAGTGTTGTTGCTAGTTCCCGTAGCAGCCCACAGTTACCGTCCTTATTATTCTCAGTTAAAGTATTCTTGAATGGTGGTTAATAGCCTATATGCAGCCTTAATGGCCTTCCTATAGTCGATAGGATTTCAACCCAATTAACCAACCAACTCAGAACAACAATTCATACACACAAATAAGGTATGTTTTTCATCTGGGTTGTTTAAAATTTGCATGCTAATTCTTACTAATCATCTATCAACAGACAGACGTAGTAGGAAAATGCCCAACGCGATATGAAGTAGAAAGTGAAGGAGAGAAAGTTACTGTGAAGAAGAAGAAGAATCATCGGCTCTGCAAGGAACGTTACCCCACCCCTGCTAAGACCCAAGTGCCCTGGCTCAGAGGTCCTTTGCCACTGGCAGTGTCTGAGTCTACGTGCATACAAGAAATTAGGAATGGACTCTACTTCACCATCACTTGTGAGGATATGAACGTGGTCCGACCTAGTTATGGTAGCTATAAACATGTCGAAGCCAAACAGGAGTCTGTCTTCAGATATCTCTCAGGAACCAGCGAGCAGTTTGCTACCGATTTTACAGTACCTCTAGATAATATGGTCCGCAAGAGCCTCTTGTATGATCATGAATCACTCAAGAAAGACCCGTCCTTAGTAGCCCAGTTGGATCATATTATGAGCCAGATTTGTAAGAAAACAAAAGATGCTGTTGAACGTGATGTTGCTACTCTGGTGACTAAGGCTGTGCATCTCCTACGTCGTGTGCCTGAAGAGGCTGTGGAACAAACTTTAAATAAAATTAGAAGAGAACATTTTTGTCAAGGTAATAGGAAACTCGAGAGCATCTATTTAGATATTGTTGCATTCGTTTACGACTCTGGTGGTGTAAGAGTTATTGTGAATGAGCTTCTGAATGGACAAATTACAGGATTTCGTGCTGTCCTCTATGCTGCGGCTCTCTACCTCCAGCCTCGTCCATGTATCCATGCTATAGAGGCTTTGATGCCTCTGTTTGAATCTTCCCAATCTTCTAACTATATTACCTTAGCTGCTGCTTCCATGGTGAACAATTATTGTCGTCACAATAGTAACTGTCATGATGAAGAACCAGTTAGGAGTCTGGCTGAAGCCTTAAGTAATAAGCTTCACTATCAGTGTGCTCCCTCTAGCGCAGATGAGATTCGGGAGGAAGCATTAACAACTCTCAAGGCTCTAGGGAACATGGGTGTGATGGCACCAAATGTAGTTAAATCAATTTTGAAGTGCTTGAAGACGGAGAACATCAGTACCAGGATCCGAGTTGCAGTTGTTCAAGCCTTCAGGCAGGCAAATTGCAACCAGCCCGTAAGTAATTCTCCAAAGTATCACTCATGCTGAAAAAATGTTTACATATATACATCAGATTTAAATTATTGTTTATTTATCCTCCATATTAAAATAGGTGACCAAGCAGCTCATGAGTATAGCAGTTGATCCCACTGAGACTACTGAAGTTCGTATTGCATCTTACATCGTAGCAATTTCCTGCGCACTAGATGAGGATATTAAGAACATTATTACGAAGATATCTAAGGAGAAAAACACTCAAGGTATTCCCTGCTTTATGATTAACTACATATGATCGTAAATTTGGTATTATATAATTTAACTTTGATATTCATCATCCTTTGTAAAAAAAAACACGAGAGCAATATCATACGTATATATCCAGTGTTTGCTTTGCCTATAACACAAAAGCTTCCATTTTATCTGTAATATTACAGCATTACATTAAGTAAACGTTGCTATATTTTTATTTTATATATTTCAGTTCGTGCATTTATCCTGAGTCATCTGCACAATATTCAACAGTCCAATTCTCCTGAAAAAGAGAAACTGAGATACTATTTGTCAAATATCGCCATTCCCAGAAATTTTAAGACAGACATCAGAAAATATTCTCGCAACATAGATCTGTCTTACTTCTCCCAGTCTTTGGGCATTGGCGCTGGTTTAGAGTCCAACATCATCTACGCCCCGGGATCCTTTATCCCTCGCTCCATTGACTTCAACCTCTCTGCTGCCTTAGAAGGATTCTCAATGAACATTGGCGAAGTTGGCGTTCGATTTGAAGGTTTAGAACCAGTCATTGAGGAAGTGTTTGGTCCCGATGGTTACTTACATAAGGCTTCTAGCGTGAACTTTTTTGAATATTTAATTTCAATATTCAAAAATAATGAGGGCGTAAACATGATGTCCCTGGATCGCTCTACTGGAAAGAAAATATCAACTGAATTTTCTGCGATATCTAACTTTTTAAACAAGATATATGATGGAGCTAAGATGAAAGTTCCTAGAGCTGATATATTTGCACGTATTCTGGGACAAGACATATATTTTGTTTCTTTAACGTCAAACCTTAAAGATGTTATAAAACAATATGTGGTAAATGTTCTTCCCTCATATCTTGAAGAATTTATTAAACAAATGATGAACCTTGAGACTGAGTCTGCTCGCACAGCTCAGGTTTCACTAGACTACATTTTCCCTACCATCCAAGGTACACCTGTCAAGATGAAATTAAAGGGAATTGGAGTGTTTGGAATGACTATAGTGTCTAAACTTAATTTATCCGACTTATTAAACTTCAAAATTTCTAACAACACAATGAAGATCATTCCAAGCTTATCTTTGCAAGCAAAGGCTTTTGTTGGATTTGATTGTTTTCTTGGAAAACTTGGCCTCGAGATGAACAGTACAGGTTCAAGCAGCACTGGTGTTTTACTTAAAATTAGAGATAAGAACAGTAGAGAGCAGGAGCTTCACTTAGAACTCCCAGAGAAAATGGAACTAATTAATATAAAGAGTGAGGTATATTTAATAAAAAGTATCGAAGGTACACCAGACACCAAGGTGACACCATCCTCATTGCGAGACATTAGAGTGACACATCAGTCATGTGTTACCAGTCTTGAACCCATGTTGGGTCTCGAGTTCTGTTATGAACTGCAAGTACCTGATATCTTTCGCAGTAATGTCCTACCTCTAGGTGCACCGTCTATTGCCAAGGTGTATATTCAGAAGGCTGAAGCTTCCATAAAAGGATACCTCATAAATACTGTCACTCAAACTATGAGAGGTAGTAAAATGTTGACTGCAAAAATTGAAACAATAGGGTCCAGGACATCAAGGATGGTTGATGTAACACTCTCTTGCACTAAGCAAGAGCAGACCTACTTAGTCTCTACCACGCTTGAGTCTTCCTCTGTCAGCAGCGGCTTATGGACCACCATTACCAACAACGAAGATCAAACAGACATCGAAGCTTTTGCAAAATACAGATCGAGAGAAACCGAGATGACCAAGGGGGTGAAAGTACATTATAAAACAGTGTCATCGTTGGCTAAGGAGGAATATGAATTGAAAATGCATATCGGAAGAAACAGGGATTTTTATCCTGCATCACAGATTCTGGAGGGCAAGTTCATAAAAAAGTTCAGAGAGCCTGAAAATTCATATGATATTTTACTAAGAACGAAGAATGACTTCAGGAATTACTTTGATTTTAATTTTGAGGGTAAGTAACATTTTCTCTTTAAAATCTTTTGCCAAAGATAATCACTGTAAAGGATAAGTACATTCAAATGTATAGCTAAAGTAGCGAGAGAATCAAAGACCAATCCAAAGGGGTTTCTTTCAGGTATATAGGAATAAGATTAGGGAAGAGATAAAAACCACTTAAATGTAATTCAGATCATCGTACATAGTAACAAAGAAATATGTACCATTTTTAAAACTTATTTCCTCTCTGTTCTTACACAAGAAGACATAAACGAGATCCCCGAAATCAATAACTATACTGGTTAGGACGAAAATAATTATGAAGTATTAAAGTCACCAGCGACATCGTCTTTAGACAACTAGATAGACTGAGGCCGAGAAAGTCACCGGGCCCTGATGAGGTGTTTTCAAGGATTCTAAAGGAATGTAAGGAGGAATTTAGCAAACTATTATTAGGCTTCTTCAACAGATGACCACAAACGGGTATAGTACTAAATAAGTGGAGAATGGCAAATGTGATACCCATTTATAAAGCGGGAGATAGGTCCTAATCGATGCAGCTCGAAATTACCTTGATCGAGTTCGCAGTAAAGCTGATAGAATTCTTAGCTTCTTATGAAGAGGTATAAATACTTAAAAATATTTAAATGCACTGGAAAATATACAGAATATATCAGAAACTTTTACTACGAAGATAGGCAGAACGCACCGAATTTGCATTCCCTGGAAAGACAAAATTATGGGAGATGTAACTGAAGTGTGTCTTGATTGTGATCCCAAGGTTCTTTCCTTTATCTCTTAAGACATTCTCACCTAGGCTGTGGGTGTGGGTTTTGCATATAATCATAAATATACATTATTCATACATAATACAATTAAAATAATTCTTGTGCAGTTGGAATTAATGTGCTGCACACCTCCTCATATGTTCTGCTGCCAACGAAGATTAAGAAGTTCGAATTTCACACCGGTGTTGGAGGCTGGCAAGTCACCTCCTACATGCGCCATACAAGAGACTCATTCCTCATGGCTGAGTATTCATCTGCTTTTAAGTTAGTACGAAGACATGGCGACTTAATATCTGTTGAAGCCACCCACTCAATACGGAGCACTGATGACCCCATCAGCACTACGCTTATTGGTGAGTTATCCGTCGCTTTGTTCATAGTATCAGTATTACACAATTCTACTTCGTTTGCTGTTGAACTCCCACTGATATGCCCTCAAAATAAAGGATCTGCAGGCAACTAATACTTTCTTAGTATAATTTACGTGTAAACATACTTCCGGTGTGTCTGTACGATACAATTTTTATTTCTGTATGGGGTATAAATAATGTAGTTTACATGTACTAAAATACTGGTAAGCACAAAATTAAGTCACTAGTATGTACTGCATTACGGGCAAGAATTTAAGCTTCTGTCCGCTGTATGTGGGGGTAAGGTGGGTTTATTGTGGGGTTGTTGCATATTCTGTCTCATTTCCTAAGTTTACTTCAGCCAGAATTGGTAGTGATGGATATAAAGCTTCTAGTGACTTATTATATGGTGAGTACAAAATGGGCTTGACTATGCAGGCTGTGCGCATCCACGACAACAACAAAATCCTTCATTTGGACGTCTTTTTCAGCCTTATGGAAGAATACAAAGCCAAACTGGAGGTAAGTGGAGAGAAAAGAAGCAACAATAACAAGTTCTGTTATTCTAGAAATGCATTGTTACACTTTCATATGTACACTCACACAGTGAAATTACAATTTGAAATGCAAAACTCTTCCCTATTATTCAAATAGCAGTAATATTGAACATTTAGTTAATGAAAACAAACTTTCTTTGCAGTTAGATATTCCGGAATACATAAGAGCCATCAAATTTGAGAGCAAGATCGAAGTGCTAGGACCATATCGTTATTTGTTCGCGGCTGCGTTCAAGCACGGTACCTCAGTTATTATGCAGGTAGAGGGTCCACTACTAGTCTTGATCACCCAGGCTGTTGTGCACCTCCAAGCTCATATTATGGTTGATGCTCTCCCCAGTGGACTTGTCAGGATTTCCACAATCATTATCTCTGCCAGAAATAAGCAACAATTTTCCTTCGAATTAAAGAACCATCGTGAATCGCTATTCGATATAGACTTTAATCTAGGTCTCGAGTCACCTCAAAAGACATCCATTGAATCTAAATTATACATAACGGAAATAATTCAACATAAGCTCGAAATAGTCATAAAGAATAATATTGCTTATTATAATATGAATACGGTATTGTTGACAAATACTTCATGGGCTCGACGAGTGAAGAGTTTTGTTGACGTTGACATGGAGCACCAGCGAGTGACTGGTGAGTTATACTGGGACAGTGATCGCAACTCGAGCAAGAAGGTGAGCTGCGACGCCACGCTAGTCACAAGCTCCTCCATTCCCACACAAGCCTCAGTCCAGTAAGCCTTCCTTACCTTACCTCTTCCATGTTTTTCAGTCACCTCTCCCATGACGTTCACAGAAAATAATCGAAAAAAATTAAATATCAGTTTCATCTATTTTAATATGGTCAGATGATCAGTAAATTGTGGTAAATGTCCAAGAACATAAATAATGTATTACTCCATGTTCATAAAGTGTTTATAGAATGCAAGTTTATTCAGAATCCGTTTTTTCCACATTTAATATTAGGCAGATTATCTTTACTCTATTCTTGTTTCCGATACGATCAGATCATCTAATCACAAGGTTTCTTATTGCAGTGGAAGCGTAACCTACATGGGATTGACTTACAGTTATAAGACTGAAGTAAATGCAGCCAGCCACTGCCCCTTATTATGTGGAATGAACATCGAGGTAACTACACCAACTCAGGCAATGTTCATGGTAAGCGCAAGTAACGAAGTTCATCGTCAAGCCTCTGACACGAGGATGAACACCCTCGTTCACTACAAGAGCTTGGAGAATAAACACTACCACTTGACCAGTATCTTAGATTTGAAAGAGCTTGATAATCAACACAGTTTTCAGTTTGAGTCTGAGATACATTTCATGTCACCAGAAGATGAGAACACGACTCTTAAAGCAGAGGTTGAAACACTCATTACATCCCAGGAGCAAGCTGCTTTCTTAAAGGTAAATATTTAAAAATTTTCTCTAAGTATTGTAGACACATTTATCTAAGAAAATAAAAACTAGCACCACTGTGATTTTGTGAAGCCAATAAAAATTAGTAAGGTGTTCATGAAACACAAGTACTCCAGCATGCAAAGATGTTCAACAAGCCTAATGATTGAAAATAATCTTGATATACGGTGTTCCTTTTGTTACAATGTAAGATGCATATGCTTTTTGACCTTATTGAACTTGACACGTCTCTGAATATACTACTACTACTACTACTACTAATAATAATAATAACTCAAGATATTATGTATAAAACATTTTATCACTATCTAATGATGTTTTCAAGGACAGTTTGTGTTGGGTAGGGAAAGGTTAATGTATCTTATAAAAATGTAACGAAAAGTTCATGTGAGAAAGTACTTTAATTTTTTTTACGACGAAACGACATTTATTGGAGACTTAGTGAGGTCGCAGGACTCAGTGAAAAGGCTAAACATAATTAATTAATATATAAAATACCTTTCTTTTCACGTAGTTAAGTCTCAGGACGTCAGTAGTGGAGCCGTCTCTGGTTATTGATTTTGAAGCGAGAAACAAAGTGGATTCCTCCAGTGGCAGGTGTATGGTGGGAGGGAGTCCACCTCTTACCCTCTTCAGCTGGGACATGTTACTGCACCAGGAAGGCGGAATTAGATCTCTGAATTGTGGAATTGATATGACAGTTGTTAAGGATGAAGTGAATCTACTCTTTCAATTAATTAATTCTCAAAGATCCCCGTACATAAATAAGTTCACTAGAAATGGTACCTACCTCTTGAGTTACCAAGAAGCTACACCAGGAAGCCACTCTCTCCTTCTTCAATTTCCCTCCCGCACAATGCAGGCTGAAGCAGAATACTCTTCTTCGGAGTTCACTCTAAGGTTGTACCCTAAAAAGCATGAAAGCGAGTCCAAATATGAGCTCACGGCCATAAAGAATCACTTCATTAATGATACGCAATACAACTTCACATATGAAGGTCGTCTCAATCATCCTAGCTTCAGTAAAAACATGATATTTAATATTCAGCACAGTGGTGAGCACAACGTTCTTCGGGGCAAGGTTGAGCTGGATGTATTCCCCGACCCAGAAAACATGTTTATAGCTACTCTCGAGTCATTCAGACCATCACCAGACAGTATGAAGGTCGTGGTTCACTTAACATCAGCCGTAAGCATTTAACACATTATTATTATTACTGCTTAGGGAGTTACAGTAATTTAGTTTTGCTGATTTTTTTAATTGAAAAAGGCCTAACTAAAAGAATAAGGTACAGAAATATTAAAAAAAATGTCTTTGAAACCATGTTTTGAGAACAATGATCCTGAAAATTTAAGACGAGCTAAGCAATAAAATATCCAAGAATTCCTCAACAAAAAGCCTTTATTTTTCAGTTACTGAAGGAGAGTCCCATGGTCACTATAATGGCAGCTTATGCTTCGCATACAGTTTGCTTTGATGTGAAGTTCCAGAAGACTCCCTCGTCGCCAGAATTATTCCAAGTTTTGGCTAAATACGATAAAATACCTACCGGAGATGCAACACTGGCTTTCCGTGTGGTGAGCGAGGAAGTTGCAGTGGTAGATATCGCTGGTGTGGCGACGCCAGATGATCCTGAGTGTGACGGCTTCATTGTCAAGGCTGTGACTCACAATTTTCCACTCGGAAGTTATGACATTCACGCCAAACTCTGTAGACCATTCTTCATCGAGTTAATTTCCAGCAAACGAGGCGGCGAGATTTACCTCCTCAAGGTTGGAAACCAGAATTGGAAGACCTGGGAAGCGAGCCTATCTGTGCTTGCAACCGAGGAGTCTGATGAAACCAGGATCATGATAGGGCGCTTCTTGCTAGCTTCACCCATGATGATAACTGCTGACATTGGCTTGAATCCCAATTACGGCCAAGTAAAGGTGAGGTGCAACACAAACGATGCTTTTTAAGACTACATTAAAAAAAAATTGCAGGTGCCTTCCATATACTAAATAAATAATATGGTATGTGTAGATTATTCTGTAATCATTATTTTCGGGGAATTAGATAGGCCTAACCTACTATTAGTGCAATATTGAGAACATTAGTGGTTGCTGATACACTGCAATAACAGTACATCAAATGTTTTGTCATATCTGAACATTCAACATTACTGAGAGTGAAAATCATCGATTTGTTTGTTTTCCAGAATACGTACCTTAAGCGGCTGATACATTTTCTTCACACTGCTTTTTTGTTCATATTTCTTTGTTTACATTTTTTGTTCATGCTGCCTTTTGTTCATATTGTTTCTTAGTACTGTTTCTCTGTTCATTGTTTACTTGTCGCTGACAGTTAGCAGTGTTCGAGGAGCTGGATAACGTATTAAACTGGTGCACACTGTGGGTGAAGAAGCTTTACCATGACGTTGTAGCAGATCTCCACGATGGCAGCACCTCCCCGAGGCACCGTTTACTCGTGCTTGTGCAGGAAACTAAGAAGGAATTGGTTCTCATTTACCGTGACCTGGTGAGTGATGATCTAGCTCCTGGCACTGACCTGGTGGGTGCGCTGCTGGGTGGTGCCTGGACACAGGCCGTGTGGCAGGCTTACCTGCTGGTGTTCATGGAGGTGGCCCAGCTGCAGCACTACTGCGAGGCTGTTCTCTCTAAGCTGATCGACGACATATACTCTGAGTGCTACCACGCTATTCAGTTGACAACACAAGGTACAGTACTCAGGGCTACTTTGGGCTAGTAGCCAAGAGGTCTGTGATTTGTGCATGTGCTCACCGATTTGTTTGCAAGTTGGGTGCTGGTTCGTGTGTGTGTGTGGGTGTGCAATTATACATTATTTATGTATTATTTTTGATATGCTTTACTTATTTATGGCTTCAAGAGTACAACTGTGCTCAGTTGTTCGTGTTCTCCGGCCTTTTATTTTTAGTATATAATAATTTATTTTGAAACGTGCATTAAAAGCAATCGAATTAGATTTCATAGATAATTTGCATTTGTTGTCACTCGTCTCTCTTGAAAGAGTATGTTAATGTTTCAACCAAAACTTGTAATCATGAGTCACATGAGACGTTTTGAATATGAAAATGAATCATTTTCTGAAAATCGTCTTTCTTTTTTTGTTAATTAATATATTTTATATATTTATCCTAGGGTAAAACTTTTCATTTAAAAATGTTGGCAGGTGGCGGGTAAATAATAAAAAAAATTATGGAACAAACAGTGATTCTTCGACAGCCATTTCGACATTTAAGAAAAGAGTTAAACCCGTATGGGTATTCAGCATAAGAAGTGATGAAGGTTCGATTATCCTTCTGTTAATAGCTAAATTTATAGCCTACCAACTTACCTAATATAAATCAGGCCAAATGACATTTGAGAGAAGTAGTGCCGTAGGGCATTGAGCACTGCATTTGCAAAAACTGTTCTTGCAATAATTTATTTGAACGTTTAGTATAAAATAAACATTCCACATTTATCTTACTTTTCTTCCAAGTTTTGGTGAAGGCTGCACGTTGTGTGGAGTCTGGTGAGGTGCCAGAGGCCGTGCATCACCTAGTGGAACACATGCAAGAGACTAGCCTCTTCCGGATGCTCAAAACTGAAGTAGAGACCTTAGTTGAGCGATACCCGGAGGAGTATGATGCCATTCAGCAGGGGGTGGACAAGGTGAAGCATACCCTCCAGCATGATCTTGACGAAATTCGCGTAAAATTCATCAGCACTGTAACTGTCAGCAAATACTTAACGTGGATAAATAAATATCTTGATTTGGTAGGTAGCGCAGGAAAAGAGGGCAGAAAATAGATTTTTATGTGCATGCTTTGTATTATAAATATAAATTTTAATGTGTATTTTTTATTTAATCGAAATGTTATATGATCAGATTTTGAAGCATTAAAGATACGTCCTACATGCCTGATAAGTAAATGTAGTATGATTTTTATCTTTTATTTCAGGAAGGAGGAATTACTGATTTAAGGAACGAAATTATTCGAATCTTTATCAAAAACCTTTTAATTAAGGTCAACATTCATGATGGTCATTTGCAGGCGAATATTCCTCTGCCTTATCCAACATTTTCAATCAGTCAAGCAGCAGAAGCATTGTCATCAAATCCCCTGAAAAGTCTTGATAAAATAGTGTCATGGCCATTCTATGCCT